TCTGGTCCTCTGGCTGGGGTGGTTTCTGGGTAATGGAGGAGGAAGAGTACAGCCATTTCCAGGCCTTTCTCCCGTCAGCCCGGCTTATCCCAAGCTGGGAGACTGCTCCGAGCAGGAGTAGTGGCACAAAGCAGAGCCTCAGGTGCTGTGCGGCTCAGTCTTTGGCACAGCGCAGAGCCAGGCGGGACAGAAAGGCTTTATGTGCCCGCTGCGACCATGTGCCTGCTGCCAGCACCCTTGGGGTGCAGGTCCCCACTCTGATCCCTGCTTGTCTGCAGCACCCACTGACCAGCAGTGCCGGGCACAGGAGCACCCTGTGCTGGAGGGGTTGTGTTTGCTTGCCACGGGGAGCAGGGCGAGGAGCCTTCCTCCGTTCTCCGGGGTGAAACATGCTCTCATCTGAAAGGGCTCTGCTCCCAGGACCCAGCTGAGCTGCGGGGATGGGGCTGGGCTTTGGCTGCTGCTTTATGCAGCCTGGAGGGTGGATTTGGGCTGTGGCTCAGGTGTGTGCTGCTGGGATCGCAGGTTGCTTTGGCTCTTCACCAAGAATGCTCCCAAAGGGTTGGTTTGGGTGGCTTTTCTTTCTGCTCTGCTCTTAGCTGTCTAGCTGAGGGTGAGCACCTCCCAGCAGTGCTCTCCCAGGTTCTGTATCCCAAACTTGGGATTGAAGACACACCTCAAAGCAGTGAGATGCTCCTGGTCGTGCTCACTGGTTGCACATTGCATTCAGAGAGATCTTCACGCATTACAGGAAGCAGTGATCCTTGTCCTCAAACAAGACTCAGTGCTGTGCTGGAGACGGGTGTTTGGAGAGAGGCAGACCTGAGCTTTTAGCTGCAAGAGCAGTAGATGAGAAGATGGTGTCTTGGAGGCAGCCAACCTCATCGCTGTGGAGCTCTGTGCTTCGGAGCTGGGCTTGGCTGGTTACACTGACCAGGCTCGGATCGCTTCATCAGCCACTCCATCCCTAATGGCAGGGTTCCACCAGGCCAGGAGAGCAGTCACGAGTGGTGGGGCTCATGGTTCCTCACCTGTGGGCAGGAACAAACACCAGAGAAAGGCAGTTTGGCCCTGGCAGGAGCAGGCATTGGCAGGATCCTGCTGCCTCATCTGAGCGGGGCACATGCCCTGCCTGCACTGCCTGTTTCTGCAGAGACCAACGAGGGGCTCAAGGGGTGGCTGGGACAGGCAGCAGCCATGGGGGGAAGGAGCAGTGGTCAGTGGGGGTCTCATGGGATATAGAGGTGAATGATGGGTTCTTCTCTTCCCCAGGTGTACAAGGGCTTGGACATCATCACAAACAAGGTGTCTCCTCAGCAGCAGCGTCTGTGCAGGCACCACATGATCAGCTTTGTGGATCCCCTTGTCTCTAACTACACGGTGGTAGATTTCAGAGACAAAGCTGTGCCTCTGATATCCTTTCACGCTGCAGCCTGCCTGGCTGAACAGATACGGACTTTGGACTGCCCCCCTCCACAGCCAGGCCTGCAAGAGGGATCAAGGTTTGCATCAGACTTGGGCTCTCCACATTGCAAATAGCTCTGGTTTTCAGAGGATACTGCTGGTGAGGGGAACTTGGAGCTGCTTTTAGCCAGCTAATGCTCAGGGCAGCCCATCCTCAGGGCTGGTTGGGGAAGATCAGCTGAGCTGGGTATTGCCTTCCCTGGCAGTCCCTGGGTGTCCCTGAGTTTTGGTGGTAGCTGACACAGGTAGCAGAGGATAGTGAGAGATGAGGGACACCTGTAACCCTGTCCTGCAGCCTTACCAGCTCCATGGGGCTGGGAGAGTGGGGTTTGGGCCAGCAGGCTGCTGCTCCCCACAGTCCTTCCTCCCTGCTGTGCATCTCTGCTTACGCTCCCTGACTGTAGCACATTGAAGATATCTTTGCCCGAGACAAGATCCCGATTGTTGTGGGAGGAACCAACTACTACATCGAGTCCCTGCTCTGGAAGGTCCTCATCAACACCAAGGTACGGCTGGGGGGCTGCGTATCCCACTGGGACAAGGTGAGCACGTGTTCAGAGCAGCCTTCTGCAACTGGGCATGGTGTTCCCCCTGCTAGAGTGAGGCAAGGAGAACCAAAAGCCCCTCATTCCCCCCGTGGGTCTGGGGGATGTTCTTGCTTGTGTTGGCCTCGCACGTGGATGAGTGTCTCCACTGAGGGGAGCCTTGTGCCCCACAGGAGAGGGCCAGCACAGCCCCGGGGCCGGCCAGCGACAGGAAGGTGGAGCTGGAGCAGCTGGATGGTGGTGAGCTCTATCACCGCCTGAGCCGGGTGGACCCCGAGATGGCAGCCAAGCTGCACCCCCACGACAAGCGCAAAGTAGCCAGGTGAGCTTGGTGTGAGCTTGGTGTGCCCTGCACCCCTTCCTGAGGGAATCGTGTGCCTGGGAACACCGCAAGACAGGCTCTCCCATCCCAGGCGAGTGCTCCCAGCCTCTTAACAAGGTGCTTGGGGACCCTGGAGCACTGGTGTTAGGGAGCTCTCTGGGATCCGAGACCTTTGGCCATGCAGCACCCCTTCCTTTGGGATGCAGGATGGTGCATTGCTCCTGGCTTGTGTGCACGAGGGCTGCTCCCGCTGCGGTGCCCCAGCAGCAGGGTTTATCTGAAGCTATTTAAAGAGCAAGCTGCTGTACTGGCTGAGTAACATAGCTGAGCTCTGTGGGAACAGCACGGCAGCAAAACCCGGCTTGCTCG